AAGGCATGGTTACGTAGCAGTACGAACGATACCGGGTGATGAATGAAGTTGCGAGCTAGTTGGACTCTTTCATCGCGATCTGGTGGTAGCCTGAGTAGGCGTCTAGAAAGGAGAGGATTTCACATCCTGAGGTGGAGTCGAGGAGGTTGGCTTGTTGTAGTCTAGGACTGCAAGAGTCGATGAATTTTTGAGCTGAGGGATCTCGGCTGAGTTGATGACGGCAGTGGCGAGCTCATAATGCTCGCGGTCGCACATGTAGGCATGCAAAAAGGTGCTACCCACAGTGATGACACCGTTCGGTCCTGGCATCTTCAACTTGAGGTAGGTGTAGTTGGGGATCGCCATGAACTTGGCGTGGCATGGCCGCCCCAAGATGGCGTGGTAGGACCCTAGGAAGTCCTCTACCTCGAAGGTGAGGACCTCTGAGTGAAAGTTGGCTCAGTCACCAAACATGATGGGCAGGTCGATCTGCCCGAGCGGGTATGCGTGTGTCCCCAGATCACACCGTGGAAGGGAGAGCTCGCTGGGTGGAGTTTTGACCGGGGCATGCGCATGGCGTCAAGGGTGTCGACTTAGAGAATGTTGAGACCGCTGCCTCCGTCCATCAGCACCTTGGTGAGGCGCTTCTTGCGGAGAATGGGTTCGATGATGAGCGGGTAGCGACCCGGTCTAGCAACGTGGGAAGGATGGTCCCTCTGATCAAAAGTGATCGGGGATTCTGACTAGCTAAGGAAAGAGGGGATGGCCATTTCAGCGACGCATGCCTCTCTGTACCGCATCTTATGCTGGTGCTTGGAGTAGATGGCATCGGATCCCCAAAGATCATGAGGCATTCCTTAGGGTCGGGAAAGCCATCTTCATCCTTGCTGCCGTGCCTCCTTTCTTGGCCGCTGCCTCCTTGCCCTTTCCTTCCTTCCGCCCGCTGGCCTACCGCAGAAAGCGCTTGAGGAGTTCGTAGTCCTTGTAGAGGTGCTTGACGGGGTAGGCGTGGTTGGTGCATGGGCTCTCCATGAGCTTGTCGAAGTGGCCGGGCTCATCCTGCTGGGGCTACATGCCCGCACGATCGGCCGCGGCGACCAAAGTGGAGTCAACCGGTCGGCGCCAATCCTTCTTGTTCTTTTTGCCCCTTTGCGTGGAGGGGCCCTCATCTTGGTCCTCATGCTTGGCCTTGCCCTTGTCCTGGCCTCCGCTAAAGACCGCTCCGACCACCTCCTTGCCGGAGGTGTGGTTCGAGGCGATGTCGAGGAGGTTGTAGGTGGCACCGGGCTTTAGACAACTGAGCTTGTGGATTAAGGACTCACAGGTTGTCACAGAGAGGAACGCGCTGATGACATCCACGTCATCGACATCAGGAAGGGAGTTGCATCGTTTTGAGAACCTATGGATGTAATCCCGTAGGGACTCATTGGGCTCCTGCTAGCAGCTCTTGAGGTCCTAGGAATTCCTAGGATGAACATACGTCCCCTGGAAATTCCTGATGAAGATCCTTTTGAGATCTGCCCAGTCACGGATGCTGTCAGGCGGGAGGAATTCGAGCCATGCTCGAACATGCTCCCCCACACAGATGGGGAGGTATTGAATGATGAAGTGGTCATCATCCACTCCTCTGGCTCGGTAGGCGAGCTGAAAGTCTTTGAGCCATATACCAGGATTCGTTTTCCTGGTGTATTGGCGATGTTGGTGGGTGGTCGGAAGTGCTGTGGGAATGGCATTTTCTGAATGCGATGGCCAAAGGCCTGTGGTCCCGGGCCGTCCAGGCTGGGACTTCGGTCGTCTAGTCGGCGACCATGTCTGGGGTCCGTGTCCCCGCTCCCCTCGATGGTCCGGTCGAGGCTCGTGCCGCCTGCTCTCACTGCCCCTTGATGGATGTCATCATCACGTTAGGCTTGACGCCAATTGTTGGTGATGCTGCAAGCATCATGGTTTGGTCCGAGTCATTCACGCACAGGTGGTCGGTGTGGAGCGGGCGCCAGGTCAGGCCATGATGTAGCTGTGGCCTCCTGTTCCATGCCCGACGACTATAGCGGTGAGCGGATAGAACGGTTCAACTGGTGCGCCCCCATTCCCCCAGTGGGGAAAGAGGCCATGAGCCGGTGTCACGACGTGTAGGTCTTCGCTTGTTGAACGGCGGCGGTTTCCACCAGTGTTCAGAGGTTCCAATGGATCGCCTACTCCTGGGAGTCGACAGGCTCGGGAAGGCCACGCAGAAGCATCGCTGCAGCGGCGATGTTCTGGCCAGCCCGAGTGAACTATGGGGGGATCATTTCATCCATCTAGGATGTTGCGTTGGACCTGACAGGCGTGACCTCAGGCACCGCTCGCCGGGTTAGGCGCGTGTGGCGCAGCGTGCTAGGCCGAGCATGCTGGCGTAGGTGGCGGCTGGCTCTGCCACCTTTGTCGTAACTCCTCGCCGTGCTCCTGCGCATGCACGAGGGCCTCCGCACGAGGGTCCATAGGGGTGTGAGTCTATAGAGACTCCGCTACCACCAGCGGCTGTCCTGGAGCGTCCGCCATAGCGCACTCCCAGGACAGAGGGTGGCTAGGTGCCACAACATCGCCGATGCTGGAGCCATCGCTTTCAACCTCATCATCCACGAGGTCGAGGAAAGAGGCGGGAGCATAGCCCTCCATCCCCACGAATTCGGATGTGAGAGGGGGGTGGCGTCAGCATCTTAAGGAGCCCCCACGCGTACGCGTCCGCAGGGGACGCGAGGCCGTAGGGGAACCGGTCGAATGGCGGTTACGGTGGGGACAACGGGGTCCCTCTGGAGAGTTGGCGGAAGATATTAAATAGCGAGTAAAGAACAATATGTACGCTACTCACAGTGGGGTTTGAGCCCAGCATGGGCTTGGAGCGAAGCGTAGGTGTCTCGTCGTTGAGGTCGTCGGGTGGCCCGGAGCCAACGGAGGGTGCTCCTCCTCCAATGGGCGCTGGGACAAATGCCTCCTCGCGAAGGCGAAGGACACCGAGCTGGTTGGCGGCGAAGTCCAGGCTTCCGAAGAGGAAGGTCTGGAACAGCTCAAAGACGGGAGGAACCCACATCCCAACAGGTGGGTGCGTGGGAAACTCCAGCGAGCCGAAGCGAATCGTATCGCATGAGCCCGTCATGACGAAGATGGTGGAAAGGTGGGCCATCCGATGACCAAAAGCTTGAACGCATGGCGTCCTCCCCATGGACGACGCCAATTGTCGGTGCGAAAAAGTGACCAACAAGTAAATATTTGTAGTTTTGCCGTGCATTGTGATCGGATGTGACCTAGCACTCAATGACATAGGATTTACACTGGTTCAGACAACGTGCCCTATGTCCAGTTCCAGTCGGTCGGTGACTTTATTCCTGAGCCCAGGTGCTTAAAGTTTGCTGTGGGGTTACAAACAAGTGGGAATAGAAAGGAGGGTGTTAAAAGTCCGGTTGGGCTCTGAACCAAAGGGCCAAGAGTGACGGGAGCTTCAACGTGCGATAAGTATTGGAGCGTATGCTCTGTGTAGCTTTAGAGTTCTGGAGCCGTGGAGCTATTCGAGTGCTCAGAATATCTAAGCTAAGCAGAGAGAGAGTTGGAATGGCCGTCCTCCGTTGGGAGAGAGCACATCCCCTTTTATAGGTGAAAGGGGATGGCCTTACAAATGAGAGATTGAGAGAGAGTGTGTGTGCACGTATGCTACTAAGTCTTGTTGCCCACGCTGCCGAGTACAATACGGTCGTTGGCGCCCACAATACTGTTTATGTCAGACGCATATGGCAGGCTTTACCGTGTTCGCCTGGTATAGCAAATGACGGCGCCCACAACACTGTAAGGCAAATGTCGGCGCCCACAACACTGTTTGGGTTCTGACATGCCTGGAAGGTTGCAAAGCACCCTTCTGGCATGGTCTGGCAGTACTGTCCTGCATGTGTGTAGGGTACGGCCCTCGGTATTGCGGTTAACTTGAGCGTCTTGCCTTATCTGCTCTGCCTGATTCTTGGGTCCTCACCGAGCGGGCGTCTCCGGCCGGTCGTTCCTAGTCGGCTCCGACCGCGTCGGTCGGAGAAGAGCTGTAAGAAGAGGTTCGGCGTATTCCCGTTCGGAAAAGCGGGTCGAAGTCGGAAACAAGCGTCGTCCGCTCCTTGGCTAGGCCTTTGGCTAGGCCTTCTCGGGCCGGCCAGAGAGTCGGTTGTTGTAATCGTCTGCAGGCTCGAGCCTTGGAAGCGGGCCCATTAGGTTTATGAACCCGACACTCTTGGAACAGGGAGCCATGTTTCCAAACCCCTCGCAGCGTCTAATAGATCAGTTTGATAGGTTTAGGTGTCGAGAGAATTAGGATAATCCCAAAAATCACCATTTGGCTTATTTATATACACATTGTGGGGCTGAGGCCGAAGGTTCTTGCCAATTACGGCAAATAGTCTAATATGTTTGGCACTGACTTGCCAAAGTAACATGTTAGCCAGAGATCACGTTTCAACAGTTGCCCCACAGAATAAAAGCATTTCCGTGGGCAGCACAGTAGATATATATCATGTCCAAAGAAATACAGTTTAGGGGTAGTTGTGTGGCCGTCTCTAAAATATATTAGTTTACAAATCTTTTCTAGAATTTTACAAACGTTTGTTTGGAGACGGTAGCAAAAAAAATCCCCTTTGCAGCATCTAATAGATCAGTTTGATAGGTTTAGGTGTCAGAAGAGAGTTTATTTAATTAGGATAATCCCAAAATCACCATTTGGCTTCACGAGCCCCACATATTATATATACGAACAAGTAATGTGGGGCTGAGGCGTCGAAGGTTCATTCTCTCAGGCATCTTTGCCTCCTCGTGCTACGCACAAATAGTAACCTAATATGTTTGAAAAACTGACTTGCCAAAGTGTTCAATAGTTAGCCAGAGACAGGGCCGGTGCTTCAACAGTTAAACCAGCCCACAGTATGCTATAAAAGCATTTTCCGTAAGCAGCTTGATTAATTTAGATATATATCATGTCCAAGAAAAGTAACCAACCTACGGAAACGTGTGATATGGAAATGGCACAACATCTTCGAGGTAACGATTCGTTGGCACAGGTTATTAATACGTCGCCCCCGCACCAGCAACAGCAGAGGCAGGAGATCACAGTCGCCCAGATTTCTCCAGACGCAGTCGATGAAATTATAGGACGATACAAGAAATTTCCCAAGTCGGCATCAGATGAACTGGATGAGTTTCGTGGTTGGCTGATGGTGCTCAACACACTGACGGCCTCCATGACATGGAACGCAGCGCTCAACCCACCCGGTGGTGTCTGGCAAGCCGATGATGCCGCCAATGGCTATGTCGCGGGCAGCTCGGTTTTCCGTGACAAAAACATCGTCAGATACCACTTATTTGAAACGTTCAACAATTTGGGCTTCTACTCATCCCTTCTCATTCTCGTGCTTCTTTGCATTAACTGGGTATTCAGGAAGATACATATCATGGTTATCAACATCCTCGTGTCCACGGACCTCGTAAGCCTGTATGCAACGTTCTTTCTCGGCAGCTCAGTGAATAAGAAAGATTCTCCCCTTATGCAACGTTCTTTCTCGGCAGCTCAGTGCATATACATTATTCGTAATTGTATACCTCACATGGCTAATGCGAAAGCCGAGAGTGTAGTTATAGAACCCATCAACTATTATGCATAAGAATATGTGTAATTAACCAGCTTTCATTTGATGTTCTCATCCAACTTTGTTTGTACCAGACTTCTCTACCCTTTGCTAATAAACAAATGGAAATTGTATATGCTTTTGCGAATACAGTATATTTGCTAGAGGCACACTACTCGATTTGATGGCTCTTTTATAAATAATTTGTGCTGCTTAATTATTTCATGTTTGCATACACGGCAGTGAACACCCTACTACTGCCGGGTTGATCCACAATCAGGTAGTGATATATTGCTGCCAGTTAGAGCCAACAACTCGCGGTGATAAGTGGAATATCACTATTTGTTCAGGTCACCACATGACAAAGATATGCCAACGCTAGTTGGTGGCTAAACCCGACAACGACATAATGGCATCATTATTTCCAAGTTTTGGTTTGACCCGGCAGTTTTATGGTTAGGACCTAACCACCTATTACTTCGTTCTCCACCATTGAATACAACTACAAACATGTATTTTGTTATAAATTATGCATCGAGATGCACGCACATCACCTCACATGGACAGTTGAGGTCCTCTACATGTATTCACTACTGGAAACTCGTTTTTTTCTATGTGTGCGAAAATACACAGAAATATACGAATACCGTCAGAAAAATATTTTTCTGATGGTGTACCCTCAAAAAAATACCCACAGAAATATGATGACAAAAAAATCAATTGTTCTGTGTGTTCGCTATGGGTGTTACACGCACAGAAAAATTCCGTTAGCCCAGATTAAATTTAAATATTGTGTGCATTAATCCTCATAGAAAAAAAGAAAGGCCCGACAGAAAAATGATTTTTCTGTGGGTGTTACACGCACAGAAAAATTCTGTTAGCCCAGATTAAATTTAAATATTGTGTGCGTTAATCCTCACAGAAAAAAAAGGAAAGGCCCGACAGAAAAATGATTTTCCTGTCGATGTTGTCCCGATAGAGCCGTAGAGGTACACTCACAGGAAAATTTTATTTTTCTGTCGGTCTCGTTTAACGCACGGAAAAATAACAGACCACCAACAGAAAAAACCCTTAACCATGCAACAAATTGGATACGATAATTATATACAAAGAGAACAGTAGCAATAACATATTAAATATGATCTGTCCATACTGTAATTTCATCACAACATAATAGATAGCATACATATAAAGATCCAAATATTCAGCACATTCATTAATGGCATCCGGGCTACATATAGATGATGTCAAAATGGTCCGGCATCGATACATTCAAAAGCATTACCATCTCATCTCAACAGTTCAAGTCTTAGCCAAGATGAGTAAAGTACCAGCATGCATCATTGAGTCATATTATAGCTAAAACTAAAGCTAACAGATTAGAGCCACTACTAGTTAATGTGCAAAAGCACAACTCTACAAAAAGAAGAAATCACCATCACATCCATGTTTTACATCTAAACACAACCATCACATTATCGATGCATGATCGTCATTGTTGGCGGAACCTTGATTGTTGTTAACGTTTGCAGCATGAAGATCCCCATTGGTGTGGCCAACATCATTAGCATTGTTGGCAGATTCCGAGACAGCATGAGAAGACCCAGTTGCCTGAATGTGAACAAAGTTACAGTAAGTGGAATGCAGAAAAGTGAAGGATCCACAACGCTTTCATCTTGAAATGCACAGCAAGGCTATTAGGATTTGTGTGATAATATACCCATGTGAGGGTACAACAGTGTGCTTTCCAGAACTGAATTTTGCATAGTACTAAATTGATCTATCAAAGTACATTACCATCCCACTAGAGAAGTCAATCATGCATACAAATGTCAGCCCGATGCCCCCATAGCAAAAACATCATATGACATCACTGATATGAGAATAAGCCAGAGCAACATGTCGATAATGCTTGCTATGCCTTGAAGGTTAATTACCACTTCAATACATCTCCCAAAAAATATAATGCTCATGTGCATGTTCCAAATCAAGTAGCCAAACATCTCCTCCTTATCTAGAGGTACAAGGCAGTACCAACTGAATAATGCCAGGAACCATCTAAAGTACCAGTACCCAAAAGACAGAAGCAACAACCAAAAAGAGAAACACGAGAATCAAGGTGTGAAATATTACAAACCAACATAAGGCCACTTCCTCACTGCAATAGCCATGCAAATTCACTGCAGTAGCTATACAACAATCAACATGAGGCCACTTCCTCACTGCTGCACTATGTGTTGATATTCTAAATAGTACCCCACAAAATACTAATCAGTTTCTACTTCCTTTCCATATTAAAATCTCTAAGTGATGGATATGACAGCTACAAAACATGTTCATGGTGGAATGAAGATATACTCACAATTGCTTGCATAGCGGACAAGTGTCGTAACGCTTCTTCTGGTACAACCCTTCCTGTCTCCTGGTAAAGGTTCTACAAGTGTATTGTAAGCACAGATATTTCAAATTTAAATCATTAGATAATTCACATATAATATTGGTGAATTATTTACAAGAGCATTGCACATACCAGTACCAAGCCTATAAGAACTTTGTTTTGCGGCAGTGCGTTGTCCTTTTCACGATTCTCTCGTTGCAGCCTTCCATTTGCACGACATAGCTCTTCCATTTCTCGAGACATGTTTTGCATAGTCACTGAATTTGATGGACGCACACTTATTTCCCTTCCGGCTGCCCTGACATCTGAAGACTTAACCGCACCATTTGCTATGGCAAGACGCCCATGCTTTCTTGGGGCACCACTAGACACATCACATAGCGCCTTTCCATTCAAATATTGTTGTTGCTCAACCTCATGTCGATCCACTTCCATGTCTGCACTGTCTCCATTCTCTTCGTTTGCACATTCTATCCTCTTAACAGCAGCAAGGTAGTCATCCTACAAAGACCCAGTTCCAGCACTAGTTAGAAACCCAGTTCCTGAAAATTGAAGATAGCTACTGTCTGTATCTATTTGCTTGCAGGTAGCTAGCAGCATGGCAGCAGGTCCAGCACTAGTTGCAACAGGTTCCAACCAGATCTTGAACCAGTTAGAACTCAGTTTGCACTAGTTAGAAACCCAGTTTGACCAGACCCAGCAGCAACAAGTTTCAATCAGACCCAGTTTGAACTGGTCAGATCTAGTTCTAACTAGACCCAACAAGATACGATACTGTACATTAACCCGCCCTTCATACATATCAGTTTAGTGAAAGAAAATATACATCTTGAAAGCTGTACAGCACAAACCAGGTTCAGGACAGGACAAGCCCAAGAGCAAAAAGAAACCCCAAAAGAACAGAATAGGCTCATTGAGCGCTACCTTATCACCCACCTCGCTTTGCTTAGCAGCATCACTTGGTACTTTGGCAACAGCTTAATTGAGCACAACAAATATACAGTTCCTATTCCATGCTTAAAATCCACAGCAAGAAGAACTCAAAGAAGAAAGTGCCATAGCAGACCATTTGGACATCTAATAAATCTTATCAAATCAAAGACGTATGCCGGAGCCCAAATCTGATGGTAGAAATTGTCGTAGATTGCACTAATCTGCAAAAGCTGGAAGGAAAGATGATGCTTTGGTGGGATCAAGATTCAAGAGGTAAGCCAGAAAGCCACCAGCAACCTTTCAAACAGCAATTCACCAAGAGGAAAGGCACATCACCAGCAAGGCAGTTTAGTTAGCTTCTTCCAAACATCATATATTAAAAAACGAAGGAAGTACAAAGATTAACTAGGACCACATATAGTTAGACACATGTCAGCTTAGCAAGGAAATGTACATCTTGAAAGTTGTACAGCACAAACCAGGTTCAGGACAGGACAAGCCCAAGAGCTAAAAGAAAACCCCTAAGGAACAAAATAGACTCATTGAGAACCCGGAGGCATATAGTTGCTATGGAATCTGCCAAAATTTCCTGGGTACATTTCAGTGCCAATGTCCTAATGGAACATATGGAAGTCCATCCACAAAAGATGGTTGTGTTACTACAAAAAAGAAGAATTCCTACACAGGATTAGGTGAGATATGGCCCCCTTTTTATCTTTAGGGGGCAGTAATATCTTCAAGTAAACTCAACACCACTCGAAGTAGTATACACCCTAGAACTGTACAAGAAGAAATTTTCAGCACACATGTCACATACATACCATGCGTTTCTGTGCTTTGTGGCTACTGATTGAACCACATCTACCATTGCTATCCAGGCTTTTCATGCCAGATTTCATCGCAGCAAATGTATTAATAGGGGTTGCTTTCTGTGGTCCAAAGTTAGCTTCCTAAAAAATAGTAAATTTTTCCAATGAGATATGAATATACAATAAGCTACTAAGTTCCTAAAAAGACATTAAAGAATAAAGAATATACACGTGCATACCAATACTTGTTGTGTCTCTGTGAATGGTCTAGATCCTCCTCGGTTTTGAGCAATATCTTCATTACTTGAGCGAGATGTTTGCCCCCTCTTACGTTTGACCTTGTACTCATCTGAGCACCAATAAGCACAAAGGAGGAGCCACACCTCATCATTCAACCACTCGAGCTTTCCTTGCTTGTATTGCTCATACTCGAGGTCAATATGGCATGCTACTGCATCTTTGATTTCTATGTGTTTTATTTCCCTGTAGTACTCCTTGACAGCATCCACACGAACTTGATACATCATGTTCCTCATCCTTTTCTTCAAACGGGCTTCTAGAACACAATCCGCATCTTGTTGATCTCCTACTGCAACTTAGAACAAACGCTGCATGTGTACAAAACCATGAACATAGGTTTCACATTGCATAGATTTTAGAAATTTCAAGTTTTAGATGTTGCTCAGAAATTTCAGATTGAACATAGGAATCTTACCCAAAATTCGAAAACCACTTTTTCTCCCCTTGTCATTTCCGTAGCCTTAGGATTATTATGAAAATAATCAGCCCAATCCAGAGCTGGGCGCTTGAATTCATCACCATTCTCATCCACCTCCACAATCACACCTGGATATTCTCTTCTAAGTATGACCCCAAGCTGAGTAGTGTATTTGTAA